GGTGGCCGGGAGTAGCCACTGCACTCCAGTCTGGAGTGAGTGGACACAGTGAGACTCCAACTCAAAAAATAATAATAATAATAATAATTTTAATCCAAGGTTAGTTGAATACATGGATACAGAACCCATGGATACAGAGGGCTAACTGTACCATTCACTGAGATGAAGGACACAGGAAGCCATGGCTTTGGAAGAGGAATAGGTAAAGAAAACAGTGAGCTCAGTCTGGACAACGACAAGTTGAAGGAGCCTGAGAGGTAGCCCAGTTGTCTAGTGGCAGTTAAATACGCAGGATTGTTGAACCAGAAATATACATTCATAAGTCATCCACAAGTCAGGTACGGTGGCTCATGCCTGTCATCCCAGCACTTTGGGAGGCAGAGGCAAGAGGATTGCCTGAGGCCAGGGGTTCAAGACCAGCCTGGGCAACATGGTGAGACATTGTCTCTACAATAAATAAAAAATTAGCTGGGAGGAGTGGTGCAAGCAGGTAGTTCCAGTTACTTGGAAGGCTGAGGTGGAAGGATCCTCTGATCCCAGTAGGTCAAGACTGTGGTGGCTGTGAGCAGCATGCCACTGCACTCCAGCCTGTGCAACAGAATGAGACTCCGACTCCAAAAAAATAAAAAATAAAAAAGTCATCCACATACAGCTAGTTGCTTGCATACAGATAGATAAAGCCATGGAGAATAGATGAGATCACCCAGGGAAAGTAGGAACAGTAGAAAAGAATGAGAAGAAAAGTCAGGTAAGAATCAAGTGAAAGTAAAGTGGCAGAAGAGATGACTAAGTTTTCAGGAGGAAGTCACCAACAATAGAAAAGGGTTTTTTGTTTTGTTTTGTTTTGCTTTGTTTTTTGGAGTGAGAGTCTCTGTCGCCCAGGCAGGAGTGCACTGGCACACCGCAGGCTCCACCTGCTGGGTTCCGGCGATATTTCCGACTGTCTTCTAAGTAGCTGGAACTACAGGTGTGTGTCACCACAACTGGATAATTTTTTTTTTTTTTTTGAGTTGGAGTCTCACTCTGCTGCCCAGGCAGGAGTGCACTGGCACTCATGGCCAC